TAACACTAGCGTAGATAATGTAGACTGCATTTTCGAAATTCAATTTACCATCCTAGCTGTCGACCGACATGAAAGTGCTGCTACTACTTCTGGCGCATATCGAACAACTCATGGTGACTACCAAATGGCTGATAGCCCTGGGATGTGGGAGCGACAGGGGGATACCTTGGCTGTGATGGTGCTTCCTCTCGACCCAGCATCCTCCGTATTAGTTTTGGCAACGCAGGTGCGCAGGCGGCTATGATAACAAAATCCACCTCAAGACTACATGAGAAGGTCAGCGACACAATATAGGTTCAGAAATCGGGATACGAACTAAGCTAGGATATAAAACCAGAATGCGTCCCATGTGCCATCCTTGGAGTGGCTCACACCAAGCTGGGTGGCCTTAGTTATTGCGAAAATCGAAGCACTACAAACAGTTGCGATCAGTAATCATGATCGTGTATTAGGTAAACTTCTCCTTACAAGAACCCAAGAGCCATTATCATCATAGCGGAAATCTTGCGCGACCTTTTCATTTGAAGGTTCCAAAGCAGATATATGGGGAAAGAAGCCAGGACGACATCAGCGACACCCGACCAACCTGCGCATCGGGTTAACTTACTATCTATTATCTCTTAATATAAGAATGTGTCAACTGGCACTTACAAGCGGCAATATATGAAATAACGTCTACAATGATATCAGGAAAGCAATCAGCCGGAGAAGACGGGTTCCAAAGGTGATTCGTTGGGTTGCACTGAGTGAAGGGGATGATAGTAGCGAGGATGCTTGTCACAAAAAGCACTACTAAAACGGAGTATAAAACAAGTACTGGGCCGCGCCTTGGAGGGCCCATTAATTTGATGAGAAGAATGACAACGGCAAGCTTTGGAAGGCAGTAGGATAGTACGCCCGTGGGTCTCTGAATGGCGGAATACAATAGGCTGTTGCTGATGTCGCTATCAGACAAGTAGTGGGTATGTCGGCCCATGCCATAGCTTATCGCCATGGAGCATAGGGCGGCGGTGACAATGTTCGATATAGCTGCAACAATAATAATAACGTCGTCCCAACCCGCCGACCTCGTGATGACTAGTCGGCTATATAATCGCAAAGCAACGAACAAGGTGGAAAGACCAGCGCCCACCCAGCCGATGATGTTGATAATGGGGCCGCGATTCTCATCAGGAGGTATGGCAGCAGCGGGCTCCATGCCGAGAAGGGAAGAGAACTTTTGAAGCTTCGAGTTGGGCGAATGCGTTTAATAATGTTGAGATGACCAAATACCTGGAGCTGGCGAAGAGGATGACCGCTAAAGGCGCATCTCGCTGCGTCCACCAACATAGAGCCAAGAAGAGGGGTTAAGAAAGGGGCTGTTGAATTTCGAGATAGGTAGTTAAAGGACCATGATGGGACACGAGGATTGATACTAATTCTAGAAGAAAATTGAAAGTTAGGATCGGTTTGGACCTTTCGGTATCTCATAGCCACAGTATCAGCCAATCAGGGCCATGAAGCAGTCGGTCTTACTTGGCGCATACGCACTACCACCATACTTTTTAAGAAGGGAGCAGGAACCATAAATGAAGAGGAGGGAGGGTTACATAAATGCTAGCCATTGCTGAATTCTAGCTCGCAACCCTACGCTGACACATCCTACGTTTGTAACTTCATCAGAATACTACCTGGTAGTTTCCGTACCTATCGACAACATCCGCTCAAGCCGAGATCTACATGAAGCGTAGTATACAATAAGTCATAACCATTATTGGAGAGTTTAGGTACATCACCAATATGTAACCCACCGTCTCTAGAAATCCTTATGCGATGCGAATAAATTGAATAGGTGTGCGACATATACCTGGGCCTATGTGGTCTTTATATATGCACGTCGCATTTACATACTTGTTTTTTGTCAGATCGGCAGATTTCAGGGGCGAGTTTTGACCGGCTGCGCCTAAAAGCCGGACGGTACTGCATAAAAGGGACAGGGACCGCACGTTATCGAATGAGTGTGTTCCAGCTTGGATAATATATGTTGTAGTGAGATGGCACCTCATCCACTCTGAGCGAATTCCCGACTATCTGAGCAATCTTCGCCGATGAAAAAAAAATTCAACACCGGGGATTTCTCCAATTCCCATGTATACCAAGCGGCGTGTCTCCCTTCGCTAACATATACTGAAAGATACATTATAACCCTCACAGATGATAGCTTTTAATCGAGCTGATCACCTTGAGTCGCATCTTTATCTATCTTGAATCCCTGTTTCATCATGTCCTGAAGTCTTCTAGTAGCGGCTGCTGTATCAATGAACTCTACGACACGAGAGATCTTCTTTCCATCCTCAGTCAAGCTCATGTACCAACATATCTCCAAGGCATTCGGCTCGCATCCGACAATCTTTGTCCAGTGCTCAGCATGTACGCTCGCCTTGCGTCTGACATGGTCAATGACAATCTCTTGGATTTCCACCCGCGACTCCTCCATCGTCATGAGAGCTGGCGCCATACGGGCGTCGTGCTCTGTGTTCGTCTCCACTGCTTTGATAAAGGGGTAGGTATTCACGAAGCTAGCGGGTTTGAGTTGACGAGTACAGTCTGTGCTCAGCGTTGTTGATAATAAAGATGATTCTTTCGCCCTGACTGCTGCTGCAGGACTCGAGAGGAATTCCTTCACAGTGTTCTCCATGGTCGTGCGGAGATCATTCGTTGAGGACTCCATATCGAAGTGTAGCTTAGGGGTACCTAAGTAAGTTTAGAGGACGGACCGAATATAGTGAGCAGGACCTAGGCAATTGCGCAAGCAAGATGAAGGCCCGGAAAATGCCTTCTCTAACATTGAAACAACTCGAGCGAGTACTTGTGTGTTACGAATCAGCCCAAAGAGACCGGAGAGGGGGGTGGTAATGATGTTGTTGAGGGGCACAGTGACTTACAGTAACATTCCCTTTTCAAGCTCCGTGGCATGGACCACATCCTCCAAGCCCATTTTGAAGCCATGGGCCTATGACGGATAAACTACGGCCAGAAGAAGGAAGAATATCACGTGATCACACGACTAGGGGGGGAACGAGATCGAGTTGGTCAGGGGGTTCCGAAGGTCTTCGAAGTTCGAACTACATAGCTGGTAGGCTAGCATGAGTATACCCGCCAGTCCTGGGCTAGAAGGGACGTGTTACCTAGCACGGCGATAGCATTTACTGGCGGATACCTACTTCGAACGACGTGGGGAGACTCGTAGTCGCATTTCCCGTATTCGACTTATATCGACTGCCTGATGGCGACGCACGCGAGTCCTAAAGGCTGGGACGTATGGCCGACAGGACTAGAGTCGTGCCCGGTAGCTAGGTACCTATTAGGGTAAGCTTTGCTCATGGCAGCTTTCGTACCGTTTAGGTAGCAAGCGTGACCATTTGGACAACTGTGATATGTTCTCGACGCTGTTCGAAGCCGTACCCCTAAAGTATAGTTAGAGTGGTTGACCAACTACCTAGGTAACTAGCTATGCTGACAGAGAAGGTACATAGATTTTAAATCCGAGCAGGTGATGAGCATCACACATGATGTATTAGAAGGTTATTCTACTAAGTACCTACCCAGGTATGCACTGGTTTGTCGTGAATACGAAATAAGAGTGTCACAAATGAGGACGTATTGAACAGCCAGCAAATTACCGGCTACCTATACCATAACAGATAAGATTCATCTTGTCTCGTAGTTTTAGTTGGGCATGTATTGTTCCATTACGACGATGCATCGAAATAACAAAGGGAATTAAAATAGAATTTTATACCTGACTATAATACGTTAGCTGATCGATATATTGTACTTACGCGCCCTCGTGTACCCAAGTCGACTAGAGGCCCTTTGGCCTCAATTCACCACTTGCCCTTCTCATTGTAAGAGCAAGCCGAGACGTCACAACAAAGAGGATAATACAAAGACTAAACACTTCATTTCTCAGCCTAAATATCCCTCTGTGTTTCTTTAAATCATTCTGTTCAGTTCATTTCCAGTCATTTGTAAGCGAATAACCAAAATACACTATGAATTCTAACATCAAGCTCACGGTATACGCGATGACTGCAGTTATAAGCGAAGCCCTAGCATAAGAAACGATTCAATAAGATTATCAAGCAGCAGCAACGCGCTCTGTATCTGGACTAATGTCCACAAAGGAATACACGCGGACCCAATGGCGGCGGCAGCAACATCGCCGCAGGCGCCGACGACTCTTGAGAAGACAACATCTCCTCTGGGAGATTAACCTCTTCCTAGCACTTCTTTGTCAGGCGAGCTCGGAGGACACCAATACTGGGACAGAAGGTGAGTTTCTCGTACAGTTACGCTGATGTTGCTAACGAGATGACAGTATTATTTATACCTGATTATATTCACACGGCGGAAGACGATTAGTAGGTAGAGGCAGATATATCGACGTTATCACAGTTTACTATCATTTCAAGGTTGATTAAAGGTAGTTGGGTAATATGGAATAGAACTCAGTGCACTCTAGTTCAATAGGTACCAACGCAGCTATTCGAAACGCCTCCTAAAACACTGGCCATCGCCGCGACGATTTTGCATATGAATGATGCCTATAAGGCATAGAAGCTTCCAAGACTCAAAATGGCATCCATGGATCCTCTATGCCACCTACACCCCCACTAGCTATGGTAGCTAATCTTTAGGACCGGCACTGGCGTGCCATTACTTAGAACAATCAATTTCGTCTTCTCATCTTAATTTTTATCGAGATAGGGTAGCCATATTAAGTAGGCACTGCCTGTCGGTCATCCACCTGCAACCTCACACATAAGACCTAGCTGCACTTTTAAAAACATCTGTCTAAGTTGAGAAAAAGGACGTATTAGGCCGTAGAAATACTAGCGAAATTTTTAGAAACCTCTACACTCACTTTGCTTTACTCGAGTTATTTTTGTCTTGTTAAAAATAGGGGAATAGAAGACAAAAAACACACTTAACTATAAGTTTTAGAAAGACAAAACAATTGACAAGAGCGAGATTCGAACTCGCGCGGGTTGCCCCAGAAGCATACTACCTGTTATACAGGGGAAGGGGATCCTTGAAACTTCCGCCATAACCGCTCGGCCATCTTGCCTTTGTTAGATTGATTGCTCGAATTTTGATTTCTCTATCTATATATTTGAATATTTGTTTAGGCTGATCTTCGGATAAAATACTCACTAGCTTACCACCCATATCCCTCATCTAGTAACCCAGCCACCTATCGCTCCGAAAGCTCCAACCGCAGCGCTCGCTGCCTGGCAAGGTGCGCAAGTAATTGACCCATGTATGAATATTATTGTCACAGCGTTGTTTGTGCGAGCTTAATTATCAAGTTGCCAGGATCGACCAGTGATATGGTTGTACTGACTGTGGCCATTGAGGGTACATGTCCGACAGCCCATGAAATCAATCATCACCTGACTCAGGGGTTGTCCAAAGAAAGAAAAGGGGGTCGTCCGAATAACAACGCTCTTATCTTAACGCCTCAACTGATAAAGCCCTGGACAAACTGTGACGACTCGTTACAGGAAAACAATGATTGAGGGGTATCTGAGAATCCGAATGAAATATAAGTCCGAGATCGATCGTTTTTCACGGACGCCGTCTGTCAAAGACAAACACGGGTGGATATCATTCCTCTACCTCGACAAAATCCATACACATCTTTAAAAATCTGATCTGCATGTTAGTATTACTACATCACTCCATAATACAAGTTAAAGAGTACTAACCGATCTCGATATTCCTTGCTATCAGTGGTGATGCTCATCGGCCCTTGCTCATCGATAAGGTTATAACCATTGACCAGCGCCGTCATTGCCTTTGCGTGGACTGTGTGCTTCGCCCAGAAGAAGTCGAGTATTGCTGCCCTGTATACAGTCTTTTTATTGTTCGAAATAATCCCTGTGCGCCAGCTCGGTGGGTTTGGAGGCGTAAGGAGTGGTCGAGACTCGTCATCTACAGTGTCGGTGGCAGAGATCCGAACAAGAAAGAGACTATAATCAACGGAATTGGATTGCTCGAGAAGCATTGTGTCCTTTTCCAGTTGAAGCTTGAATTCGGCAGCCTGGGCCTTTGAAAGTCGAATTTTATCGTTGAATTCGTCAGCCAGTTTTGACTTGGTGGCCTCGGTAGCCAAGACTCCTCCAGCAACGTCTCTCTCTGGGTAGAAATAAGATGTCGGTTTCAGATCCCACGATTCCCATTTCGGCTTTAGCCCTCCTTGTGAGTCCTGGTGCCCGTACATGATGTTTTCCATCACAACATGGTGGGTTGGGCTGAGCCCTAAGAGTATCCCGATGCTCTTGTGGGTGCTCTCGAGGAAGTCAGTGATACGGACTAGCAGGCTTGACGGATTCGAACGCATGTGATTAGCGTATGGCATCAGGAGCTCATTCTTAAAGAAATTATGCTCGAAATGCCTCGGAATCGACTTAACCAGATATGCGCCATCGTTTGTGCAGAAAAAGGTTGCTAGTGTACAAAATCACGTCAGTTAGTAATCCTAAAATCAGAGAGAGCGCGAAGGAAATGCTCCACGTACTACGAATAAGTTAGCTAACAGGTGATACAAGGAGTTTAGAATCCAAGAGATGAAAATTAGGAAACAACCCGTTTTTATACACACCAGCCACTATAGCCCATATCGCCCATGGGTGTCAACACTCCCTCGCCTTTCGTCCTATGGATGCGCTTCCCGGTATCAAAGCTTGCTCTATAGTCATCCTCTCTTATCTCCCACACGCCGCGCAAAGAGGTGAAAAGGTCATGTTCAACCAATCTGTAGGTGAGCCGGATAAAAGAGAACAGTCGGAGTATTCGTGCCAAGAGTGAGGGTTTCCGGGGAAGACTGCCATCTTCCTTGGCGTTAAGGATGGCATATACAATGGAACGAGCGATTTTTTCGCGCCGACTCATGTTGAAAACAGTCTCATTTATTCTGGATGTGTGTGGAATGAAGTGAAGAGAAGAGTGAAGATGTTTAAGTATGAAGGAGTTTGACGAAAACCGAAGGTGCGCTACCTAAGACAAGGATATGTACCTACCTCAGAGGAATAAATGCTCCGGCTAGGCAGGCGGGATGACGTCACTTGTTGATAAGATATATGTACTTGTCATCGCCCTACGAAGCCGAAGTTTACATATAATTCATTAAACTTATTCCTCAACACGTGTCTCCAATCGAATGTCATAAAATCTATACTTATATCTTCTTAATCCATGTGCTGATGATTTGGGTTGAGGTTTGATTCTAATATTACAGGTGGCAACATTGTACATGCGGACATGCCAAGATCAAGACTCTTAGAGGTTTTAAGTCACATAACGCACTCCGCTATCGACCATTGCCCTAGCGTAATACCGGTGAAGCAACTCTGCGATGAACGGGGCCGGCTTTTTCCAATCATGAATGCGTTCCACGCTGTTAAAAAAGGTCGATTTAAGACACAGGTCAACCGTGCCAGCGGCCTTATCCACCTTGGCGCTCACGACAAACAGGCCGTCCATCTCGCGCGGTCCGGGCTCCAGCGGCGACCCCCCTGCTCGAAATGTGATGGAATTGCTCGTCCTCTCTACGACCTCAAAATGATCTGAGAAGCGTGTCCCTAGCTCGTACTTGGAAGATGCCAATTGCTGTCTGTCGAAGAGCTGGCCTTCTGTCCTAGGGCCTTTATTCGCAAGAGCCATGAGAATCCGTTGAGGTGTGTAGGCTTAAGGTGACTTTAGTCCTTGAGATCTCGCTCGATTCCATTTTCTTGACGTACCATATCCAGCCCACGCGCCGCGGCAGAATTCTGTGGTTAGAGCTTCTTCGCTGCGAAGCTCGGGCCTGACTTTAGATAGGGGCAAGCGTTTCCAGGCAACGTCTTGTATCGACGGATTATTGTATCGATTGAAACGAGCGAAGCTCTTGACAGCCCACAGCTCGTCATCTGCTGACAGCGGAGTCGTGACATTGGTCGTTGCGGTCAGATAGGCGACGGCTCCAACTGGGACCGCCAGGGCCACACCCAGGCTCTTCCGAATCAGGCCCATGATACCAGATCAAGGCGCTCGTCAAGGTCTGCTCTGAACAAAAGTGGTGTACGGTGTTAAATGAGAAGAAACCAACTCTTCTCGTGCGACTCGATCGAACCTGAGAATGTATTTTCAGCTGTGCGGTGCCCTCCGCGTTAAATTCATTTATGCAATGAAACGTTATAAAACGCGAAAGCCCGAGGATGCAGCGCTAATGCGGAACTGATCCACCAATTCTCTTAAAAAAAACCTATTGAGGCTATCTTAGCTATTAGGCTAAGACGATTAGAGCTATCGCTCCCGTCGCCGGCGCTTAGTTCCGGATCGGCGACGACATACGGAGCCGTTCGTGGCATATCATCCCGTTCTCTCAGGTTTACTAACACCGGACTCCCGGACCCCATAACCCACCCTGCCGCCCTAATAAAACCGCCAACAGCCCAGTTCCTTAACATCCGCGCAATTATAATGCAATCACACCCGGTGAACCACTAGCAAATAATCGCCGCGTCACGTCGTCCTTGTCGTATAACCTTACACAAACCATGGCAATCCCATTCATGTTTTTACTATTGGAATATGTCCTATTAGGATCATATTCTCAAACTTATGATATTTCTTTTAGGCAGGGTTAATAATTGTTATCGTCATATCGAATCGATCATTCGAAAGGCGTAGACCCCAAGGCTATAACTAAACCACCAGAGTAACCGCATGTGCAGTAAACTATTATGTTTTAGTCAACTCTGCAACTGAGCGCTGTTTGCTTCAATAAACCTACGTGTAAGATCTTAAGAGAGTAAGTATAGTTGATAGTACGACCATGCACCATTCATGTTGATACAGGATTGATCCGAACGAGCGTTAAAGAAATCCGCAGAACCTGAACAGGCCGCGTTGTTGCATCGATGGACCAAGCACGATTGACTGTTCCCGGTCGTGGCATGGCACTTGACGAAGCCTCCAATAATTAGCTTAACCGTAAACATTTTTTCGAAGTAACAACATTCGCGAAGTGTGTCAAGAGCTTATGTAGATTATAATTCAGTGGTCTTAATGGGTCGTGGAAAGTCATTATAAGCGGAACGAGCTGACCAAAAGCCCTAGGATTGATTAGGTACATAGGGAGGATGACAAGCATTGTCTACAGTGCTGCTGGCTTATTGGTATCACCCAGTTAGTCTAACTTGACCTAGCAGAATCAGCTGGCCAATGTTCGGGGTGCAAGTATCATCAAACGGAAAGCAGTGGTTCAAACCAGTGTAAACCCTTCTAGAGTAACACCCGCCTTCTGCCAGTCTCCTTGACTCAGTCGAGCTAAAGGTCTACGACCTTGGCTCCATTCATCACGGTACGGTTGCAAATCAATTCCCAGCCTTCCTAACCTTGGGTCTTCGAACGTGATCTTGTCAGTCGCGGGATCTGTATAAGCTGTGACCCAACCGTCGATACTGGATCCATCTGACCTTATGGAAGTCAGTACTTGCTGATAACATTCCGGCAACGGTCCAAGAGCGGCTCGCCTAACATATGGCTGGGCGAAAAACAATTTCCTAATAAAATGAATTTGCCGTCTTCGCCGTGTCGTTGTAGCAAACATGGAGTTAGGGCTCCAACAAACAAAGCTACGATGTCGTTTTCTCGGACGTCACTCGGACCAAACCCAATATTTCCAGTGTCTGTTGTAAATACGCGGCCGGGCCGTAGGCTGCCGACAAAACCATGGGGTTCAACCGAGATCGAAGGATCGTCTGAAGCAAGAATGTTGGCAATCCAATCTTTGGCGTCTTTTTGACTCGGCCATCCTCCATGAGGGGGTCGATAGCTTTCCCGGAACCTGCCCAGGAATAAAGCATTGACCAAAGCATCAACCACGTCATCATCTCCGATAAATTTACCCCCTTTTTCTTCTAATGGTATGATTGTGCGGAGACGTTGGATGTCTTCAATCGCCTCGAGTGAAGTAAATGGTCCCCCTCATACTATGGATGTCTGTGCCACTACACCACACCGAATTCCAGATACTCGAAGCGCTCCATGGCCTAGATATTTGACAATTGCCGGAAAACAGTC